AGCACTTTTTTTTTGTTGTTGAGGTTTTTAAAGATTTGTTGATCATCAAAAAAAAAACAAATGTAGCAGGGCATTATATTACTGTTTATTTCTTTGCATTTTAACTTTGGAAACCTTAAAATCATGGATCTCCTCAAGGTTTGTGTCTCATTTTGTGTTGCCAACTGACAACAGTTCCCCTCCTTCTCCCCTGCTCTGCTGGCCACACCCACTCCTGCCTCTGCTCAAGGAGCTCCACACCCATTATGATGCTTTTTTTTAAATTTCTGAGGTAGACTTAAACCGTAAGTGGGGGGGTTCATGGCCCTTTAAAGCCTCCAGAATTTGCCCATTTTTGGTGTCTAAATACAGTGTAGCTGTTTTTGTAGCCTGTGGCTTTAAATGCAAATGAGCTTCTTCTCTCTGCCCACCTTCCCATGTGTGTGTCTGCTTCTGATCATGCGGTATGTCAGATAAACAGCACAGCGACAGAGACAGACTTGAATAAAGCTGAAATACAGTTATTCATCAAAAATACCAAGTTTATTTCATGTATTTGTGGTGGAGTTTTTTCAAGCCTTCCTGAAATTATGAATCTCACACAAATGCTGTTTGCAGTACACACACACACACACACACACACACACATTATGTTTACTGACACGATACAGTCGTGGTGAATATAGTGGTTAAGAATTGGATAGCATTTTACTGTCTTAATTCCAAACATGCTGTTTTAAAAAAGTTTTAAACTTATAAAAATCACTGAAAGTTGTAACAGATATTTTACTCCCAATTTATTTGCAAAACTCTCAGACTGCTTTTGAACATTCCAACATGTGCGTACTTATAGTCTGCAGGAACCTTAGGTCTTAAACAGACTTCAGTATTATGACATAATTCCAGCTGAAACAGAGTATTAGAGAAAAGGGTTTCACTTCAGCGCTTTACTTTATTAGCCGATTATTAAGAATATTGTGATTTCCAAAGAAGCGTCTTTCCAGAGCAGAAGCTAATGGAGTGGAGATAGACACGTTTACATGGAAATCAGTAATCAAATTATTTCTGAATATGGCAATATTATGATTAAGGTGTTTATGAGTAGCTTTTTGAATGTTCCTTTCATGATCCTGTTTTACATGTTATAGCACAAAATTCGATTATAACGTCATCACGCTATCCACATTTCCACATTTCCTCCGGAGTAATGTAATTTGATGTAATTTCGGGTGTTTCATTTTTAATTTGTTGACTTCAACTACAGTTTGACTCTTTCACTTTCATTCAGGAACATTTCATTCATGCCCCCTGTGACAAACAAGATATTGGATGAGATTAACAGCTGGAAGAGTGTTGTTTTAATATAATTTGATATCGCAGTTTGCCATCTTAATTAACATAAACAAAGAACACTGATCGCTTACCAAAACTAGACAGGACAATCAACATCAACTAGAACCGCGTTTTTTTTAAAAGAAGGAAAGCGGCAAATCTGGATTTCACCATTTCCAGATGTGAAAAGCTCATCTGGTAAAAAAAACACTGACGATCCATATCTCCAAACAATTCTTCTTCTACTACTTGTTTTAATTATGGTTGGTCATCTGGGCACTGTAACAGGTAAAAACCGTCTTTGAACTATATCATGCATATTAATGAAGTTGCACCTCATTCACAGTAGAGCGCGCTGATTGGTTCGAACCAAGTCTTTGTAATGAATTTATGCTGAAAACTCAGACATCATGTTGTACCGGTTCAGACATCCAGTCTCCATGCTGGAATTTACACTATGATCTCATGGCCGTAACGCAGCTTCAAAATTTCTTTTTAAATCTGAAGAATGAATTGGCTCAAATATTGCAAAACCCACCAATTTTCACTTTTTTGTGAAATATATGTGTCCTAATAGTGTTTTAGCAACGTGAGTCATATTTATGATTGTCAACATCTCAAAAAAATGTGTTTTGGTGTTTCGTGACTCGTTAACATCCACAGCACGTTTCCATTGCACATAAGTTTCTCTGTTGAAAAAAGGTTCATTAATGTGTTTAGGATGTCTTTCACACCAATAAAATAATGCTTCTTTTCTGAACTTTCATCAACACAAAAGCTTTTTAGATATCAAAAATGGTTATTTTCTAGCACTGCAACGAAAAGCCCATTTTGGAACCTTTATTGTAAAAACAGCAGCTAAAGAGTTGTTGACAGTCATTCTTGACAAGGGGCAAACATCAGACTCATTTATCTGGTGAGGAGTGGTTCCACTGAGGTAAGAGACTGAACTCTGTTCTGCTCTGAATCAATAAACTATAAGTACACAAGTTTATTTACAGTGGGGGAACAGCCCACTGAGCATCATGACCTGATTTCTTGTTTTCAGTCTCACGGACACGTACTGCACGCTGTCACGTATAGCCAACAAATCCGCATTATCTCATACACTTTCAGGGCCTGTTCACTCATAGTGAACTAAAAAAAAGTTCATATCAGCAAAAAGCTTTCTTGTCTGTACCCTGAAAAGATTACAAATACATTTACCCAACAAGTAGTTTGTTTTGTGCAAACAGGAGAACAGCAATATTGAACACTGAGAAAATCTCGAATCAGTGCTGTATTGCTTAGTTACTGAAAAGGATTTAGCAAAGCAAGGTCATTAAACTTAACCAATCTAGAAGTTTAAGACTTTTCTGCATGACTCTGGCATAGCGTCAACACACACACACACACACACACACACACACACACACACACACACACACACACACACACACACACACACACACGCACACGCACACACGCACACGCACACACGCACACGCACACACACACACACACACACACACACAAGGCGAACAGCTGATGGCGAACATCAACAGCGCGTGTCTGTCAGAGAGGGGTGGCGCGCGTTCGCGTCATATGGCCCGCCGCACTCTGATTGGCTAGAGAGACTCACCAGACATGACCGCGCTTGTTTTCTGCAGAGGAAGCGCGCGTGTGGCAGTGTTCAACTGAGGGATGAAAAGAGGCAGCAGTATTTCTCTTACAGATGATGTGATCAAACAACACATCTAAACTATTTGTAGGTAGCCTTTCGTTTTTGTAAAAGAGTTTTGAAAGCACAGACGTGTTCTGCTTTAGACGAAGACATCGCTAAAAGATCAAGGTGGGTAGCCTATTCATTCCCTTTACTTCCACTTCATACTCATTGGGAACAGATTGTTTTTTGGGCTACAGCACTGCTTTTTGTAGCGTAATACTTGACTTTCAACATTATTTTATTTGATCAAGTTAGTGATAATTATTAATGAGTATTACTGTTTTCCAACAGTGCCAAATGCCAAGACTAGAGGAACATTGTTGGAGCTGCTCCTGTTCGACCAGTGTGAAGACGAAGGACCTGTCAAGCGCCGGCTGGATTGTCTGTAAAACGGGTGAAATGATGTCCATCATAACCTCAGTGCTGAGCCACGCGTACGGCTCTCTGCACAGCCTCCAGTCCGCCAATTTAATTCGACGGGGGCTTGTGTTGTTTATCGTGGGAGTTGTGCTCGCTTTGGTGTTAAACTTGCTACAGATCCAGAGAAACGTTACATTGTTTCCAGAGGAAGTGCTGGACACGCTATTTTCGTCCGCCTGGTGGATTCCCCTCTGCTGTGGCACCGCTGCTGGTGAGTCTGTCTGAAACACTTGGGCTCGAATGCTTTGTTCGTGACGATAACAAACAAAGACGGTGTGCTTGCTGAGGGCTTTTTGTTATCGTGTCTTTTATGTAAGATGAGTGATTCGGGGACAGTTTTGTTGACATTGGGCTTTGTAGCTATCAGTAAGCGCTGCCCTGGTAACAGCCGGGCATTTGGGGTCATTCTTGGGGTGCTGCATTCTCATTGGCTGCGCTCAGAACGGGTGAGCTGCGAGAGAGGCACGCCATTGGCTGGTACGCCGAACATGCCACTTACCCGAAAAGAGAAACACGGAAGTCGTGTGCAGCAGAAATTAATAAATAATTCGGTCACGCTCGACTCCTCCCCCTGCATTCCTCATAGTGGTGATGTGGACGCGTATCAGTTTACATCCTTTTCAGTAGAAAATGCCTTTTAAAGAGTTTTGTTGTACTTGAACTCTTCTTATGAGATTTATTTAAACACAAAAGTCATCACCCATTATTTATATACTAAAAGGCGTCAAACAATACCAAGCAGATGTAAAAAATGTTTTTTTCTTCTTCTTTTTTCCCCCTTTCAATGAATGTTGTTTAAAGTACTTTCTGTTTTCTCTTCTCAGCTGTGGTTGGTCTGTTGTACCCCTGCTTGGACCACCATCTTGGAGAACCACACAAGTTCAAGCGGGAGTGGGCAAGCGTGATGCGCTGCATTGCTGTCTTTGTGGGCATCAATCACGCCAGTGCTGTATCCTTAACAGTGACACTTTTACAGTTGCAACCATTGTGGACAATGAAAACTTCCAAACCTTTTTGAGATTTTTGTTTTAAGTCTGTAATAAGCCATGTTACTATTCAATAGCATTAGACAAATCCTTTTTTTTCTTAATCTCTTAACTGTCACATATTTATTTGTTTTTGTCTGAACCTGAATTTATCTTGACAAATTATACATCAAAGGCTAAACTAAAAAAGTGGGGTGACCCGTTAAAGTACTAAACATATTTACACAGCAATAATCTATGCAACGAGAATTATGCTTATCTAATATTTTTAAAAAGTCTTATGTATTGAGGATAGTTGTAATAACGCTGAAAAATGACTAGAAATGCTCAGTACTCTGACCCGGCCAGAAGTTGAAAACTCTGCACACGATATCATTTAACCTTTTTTAAGTTTTGTTTTGACGACTCTGAGTCTGTGTTTTTGGGTAAATGAACAGCAAAAATGCATAAAAGTTTTTATTTTTTGTTGTCATGTAAATATACCTTAAAACTTTACATTAACTCTGAACTCAAACAGTAACATGCACTTCATTGCCAAGAAACCCCATGTAAATGAGAACTGGGTTTTTTAAGAACTAAAAAAAAAAGTTTTTAATAAATTTGACTACAAAGTTTTTGTGGAACCTGTTTACTGCTCTCCAAATGTGTGGACCAGCAAAAACTTGGGAACCTGCACAAACTCAATTCTTGAGTTAACATCACAATGTTTTCAAAATGTATGTTAACATAAGAATATTTTGCTTAACTCAAAGTACCTTACAGAAACTGGACTTTGCTAACAATGTGCAGCTATCGCTAACTCTGGCTGCCCTGTCTCTGGGTCTGTGGTGGACATTTGACCGCTCCAGGAGTGGCTTTGGTTTAGGGCTGACCACTGCCCTGCTGGCCACTCTCATTGCTCAGCTGCTGGTCTACAACGGCATCTACCAGTAAGTTATGACTCAAACATGTTGACAAACAGCAACAGAAAACTGTTTTCATATCAACTAGCAAGTAACTAACACTCTCACATATTCATAATTTTAGTCGTAGAACATGTTTTTTTTGTAAGAAACATTAGCAAATATTATATCAAGTGCAAACACTCAGTTTTGTTTTTCCTTTAAGCAGCTCGTCATTTCAGTCCTTTTCTTCATTTGTTACCAGGTATACTTCTCCAGACTTCTTGTATGTCCGTTCATGGCTGCCTTGTATATTCTTCTCTGGCGGAGTGACTGTTGGAAATATTGGCAGACAACTAGCTATGGTAAGAAACTGCCCCTCATACCAGCCCCCTTTTCCAGTCTTTCATATTCCACAGAATAACTGATGTACTTGATTACTCATGTATTGTGGTTAGTTTCCTCTTGTGTTATGCACAAAGCCAATGGCCACTTTTGTTTAGCTTAAAATAAATAAATGGCAGAAATGAAACTTAGCTTTAGCTAAAGCAAAAGTGAAACTCAATATCTTGGCTCATCAGCTATTCAGCTGTTCCTCTTCTACTTGTATCCAGCCTGCGTGTTTTAGGAAGTAAATCAAACTTGGAGCCAGAATATTTAACTCAACAATTTCAATGTGTACAATTTAGCATGCAGCCGTAAGCTCTGTTCAGACAGGATTATTTTCTAAATGACATTAAAAGACAGTCATTAAAACAGGACTTGTGGCTTTCATAAACTGATTCCAATTAGGTTGGGAATCAAGTTTAACATTAGCAAAAGGAAGTGTAAAGATGGCTTGGGTTATTGTATTTGATGAAGGTAAAACTATCTAGATGTGAACAAACTAGGTAGCTGAAAAGTGGCAGGCAGTTTGTATTGTAATATTCATTTATACTTATAAAAATAAGCTAACTAAGTTTTAAATCTGCCTTAAATAAATGAAAACTAGGATTTAGGATTTTTGTGCATTCTCTTAAATATGTATAAACTATTTTCAGTATCCAATGTATTTCTTTAAAGCAACCAGTTTACCATTTTAGTGTTCTTTTGACACCCTCTAGCGCCTGAGCAGAAACGTCATGCTTGGACATCTTAATTAGCTTGTTTGTGCCATCCCCTCCAAGCCTTCTCAGTCAGCTGTGGCTCTTTGTCTTGCTGACATACCCTAGTTCTTTCTCAATAAGGGCGTGAAAGAAGATTACGCTCCTTGTTTTTCATGCTAATGGTCAGAGAGATGGTAAACAAAGTGCTTTACTGGCTCCAAGTGGTGCATTCTACACGTTGTTACTGGATGCTTTTTGTTTTCGAGCTGGCATCGGCTGATTTTGCTTGACCAATTGGGATTAGTGCTCTGCTAGTATTTTTCCCAGCTTTCTTTATGGAGGGGCCAGTTAAGAGATAGAGTTGATTAAAAAAACTAGAGGTAAATAAATCTAGTAAACCCGGACGTTTGCGTTTGTTAATCTTTTCATGTAAATAATGGCTGTATTTTAGAATACAACTATGATCATCAATTATGGTCACTCTACATAGTTTGGTTTAACATCTGACTAATTAAATAGTTCGATATCTAGTTTACACCATTAACACCTTTACCTTTTTATCATCGTCATTTCGTTGTGTACTGTAGGTGCACTGGAATCATTTAGAGAACATTGCCTGTATATGAAACGTTGTCATTTTTATTTCAACATTAGCTTTCCTAAAGACGGATTCAGCTGCCCTTGGGTGAGGCATGGCAGACAGTGCTGACCTACGAGGGGCTATCAAATTTTACAAGGCTGCCCATCCACATATAATCCTAACATATACAAAGCCCATTTCTTATATATAGTGCATACTAATTATGGCCACAGTGTTGAGAGGCCAAGTGGGTTTAACGGGATCAGGCTCAGCTTCATGAAAACCAATTTTGAGTTGCTCAAAGCACATTTTTAAAAGCACACCTGGGAACATGCTGGAACATATTTAGGTAGTTTGAAAGTCAGCCAAGTGCTCTGACTAATACATAATAATATAGTCAGGATAGTTTCTGCATATTAATGCTGCTTTTTGGTTGTATTGTACGCTGGTGTAGTTTATGCCCATTCCTATATTTTATGGAAATTAGGGACTTAATGCAAATTGAGCTGTTTTTCAGTTGTATCTATTTGGTTGTGAATATACTGTATTTTCACCTAACAGACTGTCTGTCTTCTTCCACAGGGCTCGACTGAGAAGATTCATAATGACTAAACAGGTGTCAGAGGGCATGAAGTGAGCTTCGAAGAGTGCCAAAAAAGGACATCTGATATTCTATACTGGGCGTCCCTGGTGTCTATCCAAGCGTATCTTCTGCTTTTAATTTTGCTCCTCTTTATAACTATAAAAGAAAAGAAAGAGCGGGTTGGTCTGAGCTGGCCCAATGTGCCATGAACAACACCTCTGAATAGCCAAAAGATTCCCCCTGGCATTCATTACTACCATCAGCGTCATTATCGTCGTTGTTGTTGTTGTTGTTACAGCTCCTAGCAGTAGTGTTACGGTTGCTGAAGTGCCACTATAGGACTGTGAAAAAAAAATCATAGCTGGTTTCACTGACGATGAAACTACTTGTGAAACCACATCTACAATTGAGCGTGTGCTGGTCCTATGGATAAGACCAGGGGGAAAAAAGACAGTGTGAAAATTCACACTTTTTTAGTTTTACTTTGTGCTGGAGAACTGAAAGAAGAAATCAAAGGGAATAAATACAAGAATACCTAAAATATCCAAAGAGGTCTGTGTACTGTCTATATAGGATTAGTTGTAGTTTGATTTTTGAGCTACCCTTAAAGACTGACCACTTTGAGTATTACTATGAATACCAGAGAGCTTTGATTGCCAATCACATTTGTGCCGACTGGTTAGTGTAGTATACTGACTGAATTGATCGTGTTTTTACCATACTTTGTTGCTAATGTAAACCAAAAGTAAGACTAGAAACATTAGCTATCGAGACGTTAAGTGGCACCTTGAAGAAAGAGTCAAACAGAAGAAAAAAAACAAGGATGCTCTTTGTATTAATGTAAATTCACAATGTAGAATCATATAAAATGGTGTAATGAAGTCCTTTTAAAGTTTCTAAACCAAAAGGTTGGAAACTTTTGATAACTAAACATCAGGAAGACATTTTACTGCGGCCTCGAAGGTTTGCAATCTGTGATTGCCTTTGTATTATAGAATTAAGTGCTTTTGTCACTTTCACCCGTACAGTCAATTTTTTTATTTTATTTTTTTGTATTCTATTCATTGTGTATTGCTTTTCACCTGTAGCAGCTTCTCTGTCTAAATAAAGAGGTATCACTGGGCTAGTGTGCAGGTTTGGGGGTCTTAGCAAATTAAGTGCAATCACTTTCTTTGAGCCTGGTATTCTTTCATATTTATTACCTTTTACAATGTTAAGGAACCCCAGATGACTCATATGCAGTATAGTGGCAAACCAGCAATAATCACTTTGTTTATACGTACATACATGAAGGTGTAGTAGGATGGCAAACTCGTTTTTAAAAGAAGTCACACATGAAAGATAATCTTGCAAATGATACCAATGACCATTTCCACTGTTATGGGGAAAAAAAAACATTGATGTTCATTGTCTTTACTAGCAGTAGTGAATTATTTTAAGCAAAATACTGTGCGCTGTATTTTGGGAATGTTTGATGAAGACCATGAGGGATATGTTTTAAAACCACGATAAAACGTTCCTCTCTGAACCACTCTGTTTCAGGGAAGGAGAGATGTTAAAGTGAATGAAAGCTTTATTTCGAAGGGAGTGAGAAATGTGTTTCTAGGAGTGAATGTGCATGTGTGTTTTTACCACTTTGGTTCATTTATACTGTTTTAGTTCAATTATGGATGAAATTCAATAAAATTGTGTATTGTACATCAGGCTTTTGAGTTATTTGTTCAGTCTTCAGATATCAGGGTAAATACAAAAAAAAAAAAAAAACATTATTACAAGGACACTGTATAAAGTTACTTTATTGTTACTGTTAAGACCAATAGTTTGATTAAACAATAGATTACTTGCAGAAATAGTCAGTAATATTAAATGTAAACATTTGAGAACAAATTAGAAAACAACCTACAATTTTCAAGGCCACTCCTTAGTAGTTCTTGAATTGACTGTAACAGGAGTTATACTAGTTTAAACAATTCATGAGTTACATATTCTGCAGAACACTTTAATATCCTCACAGTCACTGGTTTATCTGGGACCTGGCGGTAGGTTCCTTAATTATCTGACAAACCATATTTAACTGTCAGCCAAACTTTCCGGATTTCACTGACTGCAAGAGTGACTGAAAAGCCTCTGTGGCTGAAAGCCTCCAATAACAGGTTATCCAAATTATAGCCAAAGGGATAACGATAAATAATAAATATCCAAAATCAAACATGTATAAAAAATGTATATATGTGTGTGGGTTATGTATTTGGACACTATAACCCTGTTTATATACTTTTTTTGGTGGTTTCACTCTATACACAAGATGATATAGATGACTATATATAAGACTCATCTTTTTTGTTTGATTTTAATTCTTTTCTGTCTCAATACTGAATAAATAATGATTGTTGAGTTGACATTGTGTCCAATATATTATTTTAATATTGTTGAGATATTGTAATAAGTAATGAGACCATAGTGTTTAAAAGAAACTCCAGTAGCACCTAATTTCTGTTACCCTGATGAAGGCAAGTGTTTGCTGAAATGCGTTGGTGCAGTTTTAAGGAATAGCCATGTCAGCAAAGGCTTTTTAATATTTTTTACAACATTTTGCAAGTGCCTTAGACTTACTTTTGCTGTTTTTTGTGATAACTAAGAAATCTTTGAGCTCCATTGCTCTTTACAGTCTCACAAAGTCTCACCAGAAATAAAACTGGTCCAAAGGTCACTTTATTGTCATTTATTTGGAGAAATGTGGGAGACTTCAAAATGGGAAAAGACTGAACCTAAAAGTGTGTCCTGTAGGTAAATCTAAAAGCACTCATGGCTCCTGACACTACATCAAAGCAGTCAATTTGTGCAAGAAACTGAACATCATTTCAATTATTCAGGAGGGTGAATAAATTAACAGCAATCTGGGGTGAACTGCCCCTTTTAAAAGTGGACTGAATTTTACCATTTGCATTGTTCTTCAGGGAGCAGAGCAGCTGTTTGAGAAACATCAACTTTCAACACATTTCCAAGTAGAACAATCTTGTAGCTTTTGACCAATCTAATTGCACACATTTTAACTATGGCATATCTGAAAAAGCATATGTAAAAT